CTGCTTACATCCAGGGTACTGTCTGTCTTCATCTTTTCCTTTATGACACTATCTATTGTAGTGAGGTGATATGTTGATCATTATATATGTATGTAAATAAAAGGCTCTTGGGAATATGGTTGAGCATTAATGTGTTCTAACTGTGTAACTGTTGCTTAAAGATTGTTGTCTTTGATCCTTAAAATACTTCTTGGATGCTCTAGTTTTTGTTGCCAAAGTTTTTTTATTATTAAAAACGTAGGACTACCTTCGGTTTGTAATAAAATTAAAAGTAGTTAAAGACAAATACAAATACAGTATAAGCTGCCACATTTGGACTGTATATAGTTTAAAAACTTGTGGAAGATGGAAAGTTACATATTATGCACTATGATGTCCTGTTTTTGTAGTTCTTTTCACAGGTTCTTACATATGTAAGACCTTTTATTTACATACATATTATAATGATCAACATATCACCTCACTATAATGATAATATATCTGTATATGGGAAGTATACTATCCTAAGTCCAATTTTGTAGAAAAATACATTATTGCATAACCGGCATTGGAATATCTTAATTTATTTAGGAGTAAACTATTCTAAGTCCAAACGCTTTTAAAAACGAAAGTAAACGAGAAACTATGTATACTATGTCCAGTTTTCTTTAGAGGTATATAATCTTATCTGGACTTAAACTTATATTCCTCCAAATGAAATATTATGAATCGGATCCTAAGTCCATTATAGGATTATATGCCTCTCATTGAAAAGACATCAAGTGTAATAAAATATACACACATGTCAAGTGCATTTTCTTAAAACTTAATATTTTTTTAACAACCTCAAGTTAAATGCGTAGTATAATCTTGAAGTGCACATCAAGACAAGTGGTGACTAATATGTAGTAATTTTATGGTTTACAGGCCGCTCTAATTTATTGCCTTTACGAGTTTTGGAGATTGGATTTAATTTTTACTTAATTTATTAGACTGTGCTAAGCATTATTTTAACGAAAAATGGTCTTTAATGACAGTAAGGCGCATTCTGAAATAAAATATTTAGATTTTAACTTACCAGCTTACCAAACGTATTTTAAAGTTGAAAACGTGTTATTAAGATTTGTATTCAATTCAGTTGAATGCGAACCAAAACATATTAAAGAAGTTATTTAGTGAGTCTACATTGTTTCATCGCTTTAACAATGGCTTTTCGTAAAAGAAGTTTAAGGATCCTAGATTTGTCGCTCTGCGATACACCTAAGTCTTTCAACACAGACCCCAGATTACAAAAAGGTAAGTTTTTAGAACTAAATATAATTTTTTTACACAGTCGAGAAAATGTAAATGCAATGTTAACTGCTTTTCTAAATGTTAGTACATCTTTATTAATAATAATTTTATTTAATGTCTGCTTCCGTTGTAACAAAAATATCTATTTCAGGTGCAGATAAAGAAATTCTACCACATCAAGAACTTAGCGATAGATGCGGCCAAGATGCAGCCATCAAATCAGCTGGTGTTGCAGAAGAAAAGCACTATAAACAAAGTTCTGTGGTAAGTGACGACCTTTATTTAAGTGACAGCGATGATTCGATAAAGGATAAAGATTATCAACCAGATTCAGACACTGATTTAGATGAAAGTGGAAGTAGGTTTCCTGTACTTTTATCGGCATTGCCAGAAGGTGTGCCAAGTACATCTAATTCCGTACCAGACTTCTTAACTAATACCGTAGAAGAGACTATAAATCCAAATTCTTTAATGACCAAGAGAAAAGTTGTCAATAAAACAAAAATAAAGCAGACAGGAAAGAAACGGACACGACATGTTCTTCACTGGAAAGCGAATGAGAGAAAAAGAAACTATGCTGGAGGCAGGGCCTATGTTAGTAAGAAGGGTAAGAATGTTCCTTGCAAAAACCTAAAAGTACCATGCGGAATAACTTGCCGCATGAAATGTAGTTCAAAATTATCTGAAGCTCAAAGGGAAGATATTTTCAAAAAATATTGGAATGACACAGCAGACCATAATATCAAAAGACAATTTATATTATCTTGTGTCCAAACGAAACCTACAGAACGACATAGGTTGCGCTCAGGAGACGAATCTAAACTAAGATCAAATACTTTAATTTACTCTTTTGTAATTAACGGTAATAGAACCTTAGTATGTAAAACCATGTTCTTAAACACGTTAAGTATTTCACAGCAAGTAGTGAAGACTGCTTTATCAAAACGACAGGATGGCGGCATGGTTCAACGAGATCTTAGGGGCACTCATGAGCCAAGTAATAAGACAACACAAACAATTATTGATTCTGTAGTATCACATATTTCATCTTTTCCGAAATACGAGTGTCACTACAATCGGGAAAGGTCCAAAAAGAATTACTTGGGGCCTGATTTAAATATTGAAAAAATGTATAAATTATACAAACAGAAAAAGACAGAGAATAATGATGCTACTGAAGTCATAGCAAAGCCCTGGCTATATCGCGATATATTTAATAAGCAATTTAATTTAACATTCAAACCCCCAGAGGTAGACACTTGTGACGACTGCGATATGTTTGCAGCTAAAATACGAGCAAAAATTGATAATGATTCTGAGAAACAACTGATTGAAAATGAAAAAGATACCCACTTAAAAGAAGCAGAAAATAGATATAAATTTAAATCTATTGATATGGCTGAAGCAAAAACAAATATAAAACACAAAGTTCTGACTGGTGATCTACAAAAGTGCCTTCCAACGCCATATTTGACCAATTGTGTGAATTTTTATAAGCGAAAATTATGGACTTTGAATTACACTTTATACGATGGGTATAATAGTGCTGCGTATTGTATAACGTGGGATGAAACCAAAGCAAACAGAGGAGGAAATGAAATTGCTTCGGGAATTTTAAAGTGGGCTGATCTAAATATTCCTTCATCTGACGTCGAATGTGTTACCTTATGGGCAGATAACTGTTGGGGCCAGACGAAAAATCTATGTGTAGTTATGTGTGCACTTTACCTCATTCAAAGATATCCTAAACTACAAGTAATAGATTGTAAATTTCTTCTAAAGGGGCACACGCATATGGAATCCGATTCGGTACACGCCAATATTGAAAGGAAACGGAAAAAACTACCCAATCTCACTATATTAACACCCTGGGACTGGCAACAATTTATTCGTCAGTGTTCAAATAAATACGAAGCTGTGAACATGGAACTCAATGATTTTAAAAATTTTGAATGCTTATATTCTTCAACAGGTCCATTTATTAATCGGAAAATAAATACTGACAGAGAGGCATTTCAAATTTCAAAATCAGTGATCTTACGAGTTACCAAAGAAAAATTTGGAATACTTCAATACAAAACTGCATTCAACAGTGACACTTTTCAAATGGTTGACTTAAGACGAAATAAAAGAGGTGATATCATTTTGCCAGAAACTTTACCACAAATGAATATGCAATTGATTCCTATATCAACAAAAAAATATAGTGATCTTATGGACTTACTCTTATACTTGCCATCGTATTGCCATGATTTTTATAAGAATCTTCCTCATTCAAACGAAGAATCCGAGTATCCTAACGATAATAATGATATGTAATTTTCAAACTGTATGTTAGTTCTAACTAAATAAAATACATAAAGAAGTATTGACGAGTTTTTTTACACAGATAACCAATTTATGAGGACTTAGTATAGGTGTATTATAAATATAAGGAGTTTTATAATTTAGAAGTAATATATCCTAAGTCCATTATTTTATTATCTTTAAACCCTTATTATACTTTCATAATACTACAGCAAACTATATATAATACTATTTTTAAATACCGACAATAGTTTCCGCTACAATTATTAATTGCTTATAATTTTCTGAACAAACATCAAATATAATGTTTAAGTACTCCTCCTGTAAAATTATGAGAATGTGACTTAGGATGGTATGCTTCCCATGTACAGATATAAATATCATATATTGTAAGCCTTAAAACCGATCGCTTCTGTAAAACTTTGAAAGTAAATATTAGATTGTGAGTATTGACCTTTTTAATATATCTGTTCAATTATGGACTCACACTTGCAACCCTTTTATCATCATAATAGATAATTATTATAATAGAGTCAAAATAATATTAAATTTACTAAGTTGATAGAAAACAGCAAACACCTTAAAAATGTTCACAGTTCTAAGTTTATTTAAATAACACTATAATTATAAACCAACACTATAATTATACTAACACACACATATATAGAGCTATTAAAAGTAAAAATTATATTTATATAATTAAATTCAACAGACATAAATGTGATTCGTAAGGATTACTGAATCCATATCTGTTAAAACTGCAAATTAAGCGTTTTTGTTTAGAGGTGTAGATTGTCGTTACTTGTGAGTTTCTACTTGTTACTTTTGATACGATTTTGTATATAATCAGTTACAGTATAAGTGATTTTGTAACAAATAGATACCTCTTCAGCATCTCTAGATTTTGGGAATGAATTGATCACGCGTCCCTAGTGTTGATATTCTACTTTTCTGTTAGGCGAATATAATATAGTTTTATCAAAGTGACATTCACTTTTAATAACGGAAACGTCAAACATACGTTTATTTTTTCATTAGTAATAATTCTGGTTTTATTCGCAAAAAAACAGAATAAAGAAATTGATATATAATGGGTAGGTTTTCGTTTTCATTCGAAGGCCTTGTACCAACCAAATTTACAATTCACAATATTATTTTTAAATTAGAAAAAAACGGGTTGTACAGAAATTATGGAAAATGCACGGATAGTGATGAAGATAAAAATCAACCAGCTCGTGCAATTAATGAGGAACTTGAACAGCATGAAACTTCCGTATGTAGTCTAGCTGAAATAAATTTTCCTTGTAACAGCACCTTAATTTCAAGAGAAACTGGTCTGTAATGGTGTTCCCCCTGAAATAGGGGAATGTTTATATTAACTTTAATAATTATTATTTTAATGTCGTTTCATTTTTTTGTAGGAATCCATGCGGCAGCTAAAGAAACTGTAGCTTTGGCGGAGCAGCAATTTTTAACAAATCAACACGAATGGCAGTTTGACAATGCTTGGCAGGAAATGCTCAATCATGCTACTATGAAGGTAATATAACAATTTTACTACAGTTGGTAGATAATAATGAAAAAAAAACCTACCATTTATTAAGATTTTTGCGGTCGGTTAGTTAAATTACCGTGTTCTGAAATTGTTTCTTCCTTAAGTTTCTTCTACAACTGTAGCCGATATTATCAAAGGCGAGGTAGGTTAGGACGTAGGCGGGACATCATATCGTTTCTCTCAACCACTGATCAATCGTGTTTTTAGTCTCAGCCTTTTTTAAGATTAGCATTAATATACCTATTGTGATGAAGTTGGTCTTTATGTAGCATTTGTTTATTTGATTGTTTAATCTTGTTTATTACTTTTTTTAAAAATGTTCAATATAAGTACTTTTAGGTTATGGAAGCGGAAACTAACAAAGCTGAATGTGGTCGAGACCATCAACGAAAAGCCATAGCATTTAAAGACATAGAAGAAAAATTAAAATCACACGAAGACAAACTACACAAATTCATATTAAAAGCTCGCCCCTACTTCGATGAAAAGGCACTATGTCAGGATCAACTCAACACTCAAAAAAATCGTATAGGCGCGCTAAAACAAGAAATCTTAAATTCGAAACAATTTTATTCTCAAACACTGAAAAATTTAGAACAAATATCCAACGAAATACATATGAAAAGGAAGGGGAAGAAACAAGAGAGCGATATCCTACGGGGACCTCGGGAGCCAGGTGTCGGAGCCGAACTGACTTCAACTTTCGAAGAAATACCGCTCACGAAACAGTACCAATCACTGCCCGATATAGCATCGGAACTAGACAAGTACGACACTTGTAGCGCCGTTCCCAGCTCTACGGTTAGTGAAAAAGATGAATGCGAAGGCCTAGATAATATCGACGATATAGTTAACACAGTAGATAAGCTACATTTAGATAGACCTGTCGAGGGTACCAGCGAAAAAGTATTTGTGTCAGAATTTCATTTAGGGAAATTGGGAAATTAGTTATTATGTGTTGATTGAAGACTTGAATCGATTTGAAAAACCCTTAATAGCTGATTTAGTTGGTAAGCAATATTTTATAACATAAATTACCACCCAAATCAACATAAGAAATTACTTGTAAAGTCATTGGGAGCATTTTTCTTGGTATGATAACAAATATTTTTAATAATTCAAAGAATTCAAATATAACATTCCAAATATGCTTTTATTTTACTGTAAAAATATTTTGTGACATACAATATACTATAATAGTACTTCGTAACTTTCGGTAAAAATATTAAAACTTATATTGTACATGTTGACAGCAAATTTTTGACATCAAAGAACTTACTTGGTAAGGGTTTGTGATACTATGTTAACGTGTACCTAATGTGAGTGTAACAACATATAGGATTCTGTGAACTATTTAAGGAGGTTAGAATTACATCTAATGCATCGTGTGCCTCAGGTTACTGCATATAAAAATCTCTATCGAGCACCATAAAGTTAAACATTCTCTTTGAAACCTGCAGATTTCGACTGGAATCTGTAGTTTGTAAATAAGTTTCGAAGAATTTCTTCTTTTTAATGGAAGTTGGCGATGACTTTTGCAAATTCATCTCTATTTTAGGCTTTTCTTACATTATTAATTGATATGCTACTACAAAGCCAGGTTATGAAGCTTATTGGACACAAGCAAGTAGAAAGGAAAATATTTAGCTGAAGGAGGTAACTTCATCTTACTGTTTAACAATCCTTGGATAGCTAGGAAACCGCTGAGAGTCTCGTTGATAGCTATATGGTAACTTTGATAATTGGAGTGACTGCTATAATTTTTCAAATAACGAAGAGTGCAACAAATTTTTTCAGTGTTTTTCTGTGTATGTGTAGCTATGTCTCGTGGCTGTAATGGTAGATGCCTGCTAAAATGCAAAAACTACCTTTTCTCGTGCTAAAAAAACGATTTAAATATTGGTTGTAAAATATTATAACTTTGCAAATTATTAAAGAAGATATAGCAACAGTCGGAGTTAAGCTGTCAATATAGCTGTAGAGTTACTAAAGCTGGAGGTCCACTCATAATAGAACGAATAACTTTTCTAATGAATCAATGCTGTCAACAAATTAAAGTACCATCTGAATGGAAAACCACTCACCAAGTGTCCATCTTTAAAAAGGGTAATCGAAAAGATCCTAACTGCTACAGAGGATTAAGTGTCCTACCTACTTTCGGCTGATAACTTGTTTATACTCCAACAATTAATAGAAAAAAGAATAGCGGTTAGTACCGAAGTACATTTAGCATTCATCGACCTAGAAAAGGCGTACAGTTCCAAGACTTAAATTGTGGCAAACTTTACCACAACTCGGCATTAGTCCATACCTTTTAGGAATTACCACAGAATTATACAGGGATAACACTACTTACCTAACAATCGGAAATAGACTATCAGGGCCAATAAAAGTAACTAAAGGACTAAGACGAGGATGCAGTATGTCACCCTTACTGTTTGATTTATATATTGAGGCAGCCCTCGAAAATTGGAAAAACCCCTGCCAGGGAATGGGAATCCACATAGGAAATGGCGTACTGTTCTCCCTGAACTTTGCGGATGACCAAGTCGTCCTAGCTCAAGATTCTTATGATAAACAAGTGGAAAAATTTAAATATTTGGGTGCACTCATTGATAAGAACGGCTTGGGAGAAACCGAAATTAAACAACGAATTAAACAGGGACGTAAAATTGTAGGATATCTGACCTCCTTATGGTGGGATCGCAACATTTCCATAAGGTTCAAAAAAGAATAGGGCAAACCATTGTTGAATCAGTTCTTTATTATGGCTTAACATTATCGATTATTGTTGGCAGTTGAAATTGATTATTTGAGGAGAAGTGTTAAAACATCAAGGCTGGAAAGGAAGACCAACGAATCTATAAGAAATAACATAAATGCACAGAAATGGTCATTGACAGAATAGAAAGAAGAGGTTTAAAATGGTTTGGACACCTATTGAGAATGTCTGACGAACGTTGGGCCCAAAAACTTCACAGATGGAAGCCCCCTGGAAGAAAAAAAAGAGGTAAACCTCGACGCTCATGGAATAAAGGAATTAGAAGAGCAATGTAATCGAGAGGTTTGGAGGAGGAGCATGTCTTGGACCGGTAGGATTGGCGGAGGAGTAGGGAGGAAGAATATGGCGATAGCCGTCTCCAAAATTATATTGTAATATATACATATTTGGATCCTGTAATATATATATATATATATATATATAATATATAAATATATATATATATATATATATATATATATATATATATATATATAATATATATGATATCTTTGTTTCTCGGGTGCCTCTTCTCCTTCCCTGAACTGGTCTCCACTTTATCACTTTGGTCACCTACCTCCATTCATAGAGCTTACATATCCGTACCACCTTAAACTCTTGGCTTCAACGATGCTAATTATTGTTGTCTTAATACCCATTCTTGTTCGTATCTGGTTATTTCTTATTTTATTGTGAAGTGTTATCCTACAGCAACGTCTCCGAAACCCCATTTCTATTGACAGTACCTCTTTTTTCAGATCTATAAATTGCGATGCCTTCGACGATTATGGTGTAGTTCCTGATTTTTTGTATCTCGTCTAATCTGTGTGTTCCACAGCCACATTTAGTTGTTTTGCTACCTGCTTACCTACTGCAATTACTTTTCACGAGAGTCTTCTTTATTAATTGTTGTAACTCCAAGGAACTTGTATAGAAAGAAAAAAAAAATCAACTTTTTCAAAAAATTTTATTTTATAAAGCAAAATTCTATTTTATTTAAAATTTACACACAGAAAAATTTAGCATTTGAACAAGTCGTAAAAAAATTTTCAGCTAAAAATATTAAAAATTGTCAATTTTTCCTGCAGTTTTACCCATCCAGCTTTTTTTGCTTTAAGCAGAATATTTTGGTGCAGTACATCTTAAAGCAGGTGCAATTCAAAAATTCGAAAATTTTTCTTATAGTATATGCCCTTGGCTCATGATTGAACGAAAAAATTAAGAAAAAAATTAAATTTAAAGCTTTGAAATAAGTTTTAATGAATTCTCGTCTTATATTTTTTAGCATTTTTCCGATTCTCATCGTTTTTAAAACATTTTTAAAACAAGAACCCGTCGATTGATTAAAAATCACTTCGTTCAATCATGAAACAATAGTATAAATATGAACTGTCCAAAGTTTCAGCGCAATGGGTCGATTCGTTCTCTAGAAATCGTGCTTACCGCATGGAAAAACGCGTTTGAAGTTTTTAAACTGAGAGCGCACATACCAACCGCGCGGTATTCAAATCTTTATAACTCCGGTAATATTCCTCGAATTTACTTCAAATTTGGTGTGAAGAGTCTTGAAGTACTATACTTTCATATGGAATAAAAATTTAATATAAGTAATAATACAAGACCTATGTAACTCCTTAAATAAGATTGTAGCCATTGCGCAACCTTCTTCAGTAATGTGTGGAAATTCTTCAGAAAGCTTTTTCTTGGCCTTGAGATATCTACGATAATATTTTTCATAAATAACTAGCAAAAAAATGTGCCACAATCTGTATTGAAATGTTCAACAGGTTGATCTGGGATAAAAAAATTTAAAATCACAATTTAGTATGTAGAATCATATAAAATCAAACTTTAAGAAGAATTTGTATAATGAACGGATAGGGGAAGCTAACATGACGAAATTGTCACGAATTCTCAATAAGTATATGACATAGTTTAAAAAGAAAAAGTTTGTTTATATTTTATCTGAGAAATTAAATTTATATTTTTTGTTTAGAATTTTAAATGAAACAAAAACCGAATCGATTGAAGTCTTCTTAAATACGCAGGGAATTGCAGAGGTTTCAATATTTGTACCTTATTATTTTAAGTATATTGAGTGTAACTCACTTGTTAATATTCAGATGTTTTAACACTACTACATTTTATTAAGATATTAATTGCATTTAAAATGTATAACACTAGAAACTTGCCATTTTCAAGAATTTCATTTGAACTTTTATAGATAACTAAAAGAGGATGACAACATTTTATACAAGGTTGGAAATCCAATAAGTGAATATACAAGAGACAAATTTAGTCCACTTCTAATTATGTTTCGACCAGATCACTGCTACCCTATTTAGTAAATTGTGTTAGAAATATACATAAGCTTTTTTGTACCAACGTTAACGCAAGTAATGTAGTGCCTCTTTAATTTGCCAAATATTTCTTTCAGGAAAAGTTAATTCAGCATCTACGCAAAAAATCGTCTAACGGTATGTAATATTTTACTTTAAGTGGTGAAAATTATTAAAACTCTTAAGTAGCTTTATATTGGGCGAGCTAGTTATTCCGATCCATAAACCCTTGTAAAACTTAATACAGTCTGCCCTAATTTATTATGTTTCTCTGTATTAAAAAAGTTATGACAAAGAGGGACAAATTATTAATAAAATTGATGAAATAAATGAATCTCGCTATAATTAAATATTTTTAATGTCTCGTAAAAGTCTTCTTTTAGTTTTCTATAAAAATATTATATTTTGTTTGCATATATTTGAGGTTGGAAGGAAATAAAAGACATTTTATATACGTATTTATTATTTTTAAGAATATTTTTTTGTTAATAAATATAAAAATACGAAATATTACTTAAATACTGCCGTATATGTCTCACTAATAATTGTATTAAGTAATTTTTCAATTTTTTTTACACTATGATAGAGAGTTAAAAGTATTTACATAAGATTGTTGCATTTTAGATACATGTGTCTTACCTATTATTATAAAGTAGACATCCCATAATTTTATTTTTTATAATTGTTAATATCTTGTGGTTTACACAACATAAAACAAATTATATTTCGTTATTAATAAAAAGTTTTCTATTCATTATACGGGGGCGGAGGGTAAGTACTTAGCTTACAAAGAAAACGGAAAATATTGGAAAAGTGGCGATTTACTTCTCAACAAAATCTGCTTTTAGCTCGATACACTTTTGAAGGTACGTCCGAAAAATTAAATAGTGCCATTTTTCAAGAATTCGGCGTCAAATAATCCTAATAATATAGCATAGCGGAGCCCTGTGACCATTTTGCTCTTCTCCA